AATTTTCACTCTATGGTATTTTTTCGACTGTTTTTTTATCTGGAAAAATATTCCAACACATCCAGATGTTGGTATCGTTACTGATCCAATTTTGTTCACTTAAATTTCTCATTTTATTTATGTATTTTTGTTGTCTTACTTCAATATAATTATTATATTACTCAATAAATAATATTTATGAATTTATTTATATATATATATATATATATATATATATATATATATATATATATATATATATATATATTTAGTAATTTGTTTAAAATTTGTATTCAAGCATACCATTTTTTTCAGTTTATTAAGCTATTTGGCTATTTTTGTTTTGTTTTTAATTATATTTTGTGATAAGAAATAAATGAATATTTAATTTTCGCTATTAAAACTTGAAAATCCAAGACTTCATTTGGGTCATAATCATTTTCTTTCTGTTTGAAATATTAGAAATATTTATGTCCGAACTGTTGATATTTTGTAATTATTAATTTCTCGGTAATATGGAAAACTGTGGAAACTGTGTGTATCGTTACAAATTTGTTACGATTTTTACAGACCTACTCTTTTCTAAGGTTAAAATATAGAGGTCTGATATTGATATTTGATAATAATAGTTTGTTCAATAAATTAAAAAACCATGGATATTTTTTCTCAATCTTTACATTTCTAGTTCAATTGTGCAGTTTCTAGGCCTCATTGAGTTTCCCACGAATGTTAGGTTGGGTAAAACCCCCATTTTTTTTTCATCCTCAGCAGTTATTGAAAAATATTAAGCATTGGGAATGGTCTAGAACTGGCAAAACACCCCCATTTGAAGAAAGAATCCCTTCTGGGCTTGCTAGTTCTAGCATCTTCTACTAATTATTTAGTTTTGTGGGTCGAAAAAAGAGCTGAAAATGAGAAACATGACAGGTCTCGCCCAGGAAGAACGTGCGTTTTTGGAAAGAAACACACATTCCTGCACAATATCATTATAGTTCTTTCTTTCTGAAGGCTGCCAGAGTTAATTCTTAATATTTTTGAAAATTGTGTAAGAGGTGCCGAAAACTGGTACCTACGGGTGGCGAAAACTGGCTAATATGGATATATATATATATATATATATATATATATATATATATATATATATATATATATACATATATTTATATTTTAAATTAGAGATCTTTACTAACTTAACAGAACAGATATTGCTGAACCAAGTACCCACGCGATTGAAAATAGGACAAACACATTTAAAATTTCCTTAAGAGTGCCGAAATCAAAAGATTTTACCCTACATATTTATTCCCATCAATATTTTGGAATATAATGAAACATTTTTTTTTTCTGTCACAAAATAACATAAGTTCACTTAATTAGTTCATTTGATTGTCATTCATTGATTGTCAGCAAAGGTTGTTGTTTTTCAATGTAATTTTGACCCATAAATCACCTTTAGACTGATTTTAGACTTATTTAATGAATAGTGAAACTTCGTACAAGTATCATATTCTGTTTTCTCTCCCATATTGTCATGTGGGAGTCAAGCCTTACGAGCAAAAACAAAAGAGAAAGAAGTATTAAATTAAGGAAATACTGGAAGTTGTGTAGATTAATTTTGTCATATGTAAATTAAAACAATGTTTGGGTTCTTAAATAATACACATTTAATGATTGATAATTAATATCTTATTTCAACATTTTACAGATGCTATCGAATGCCGTTGGGTGTGTCTTCATTATCGTCCAGTTTCAAATACATGAGAGATGCAGCGAAGTTGAAAAAACTTGAATCCAAACTGCTTTCTTTAAGTGTTTGTTTTATTCGTTTTTTTTTTAAAATACAAATATAATTTAAATTTCTTTACTTATTGATATTGTTGTTATTATTATTATCATTTGTGGTTTTTGTTGTACTACCAACTTTTGTTTTTAACGTTCATGATACCAACAAAAGTATGGAAAAGTAAATCTAGAATCGACCTTTAGATATTTGTACTAGCCGTTCGCTTATTATCCTCTTATACTGCTTTTCATCACATTCAATATTTTTTACCACTTTCCTCCATGATATAATTTTTTTTGCTATTTATTTATTGATGTGCAATACTTGAACGAATACGTTTTTCAGTTGATGATATTTAATTTGACTACAAATTACATTGAAATATATTGAATCGCAATAGAAAAATTCCTACGCGTTCATACGTGCCGTAACAAGTACTTTTACAAGTATACCTTGGTCATTTATTAAAGGTTGTTCTCACTCCTCCACTCTTTCTTTCTATTTTTCTTCTCCTCATTCTTCCTCAACTCGTCCTTCAGTAACTGGCTGAGGAATACGTACGTCCGATATTTTTATCTTACATTGTTTAAATATGAAAATAAATCAGATTGAGTACTCGAACGTACTTTCTCTTGAACAACAGTTATCTTAAAGAGGAAATTAAATGATCACCTAATGAAGGTTCGAAAATCGACTTTTTGATCCTGGGTTTAATTTAGAATTCTCTCACGACCTCAGATTGAATATAATATTCTAAAAAAAATAATTTCCTGCCCAATGTATGACTCAAACCCGAAAACAATCTCTGCAAAGATTTGAATTATTTGAAAATCGTACCAAAGTGCATTAAATAAAATTCAAATATCAGTAGACGTTTTTTATCTACTTTTCTAATGTGACTTTTTAAAGTGCATTAAATAGTTTCTGTTCATTATGTTTCGGTGGAATTAAAATTAAAAATACAAACAATACTAGTTGATCCATGCGAAAAATTCTCAAAGAATATTGATAAGTGAACAAACGCCAAAATAATCAGCACATAAATTAAATCAACGTATCATAAGATGAATGAATCATTTGGTAATTGTAATCGACAAAAGAAAAGAAAGTTATTACAATTCTTCATTCATGTTTTAATACAAAATGTTTACATATTGTAATAACTTGTATCTCAGATAATAATGGTTCAAATTTGATGATTTTTTTTTTGTTTTGTTGGGAGTGTACTAATCTTTCAAATAATCATGGGCACAAACAACAAAAACATATATACATTTTGAGTTATTTGCAAATAAAGTTTCTTTTCCTTCATAACCTTCTTCCTGAAATTTGGGGTGATGATACTATTTTTCCCACCTGAAGAAGAAGATCTTTAAAATGAGGGTCCAATCATTGAATTTCATGAAGAATTGGCGAATATATTGTGTACTGGCGAAAGAACATATTGTTGGTGCAAAAGAAAACAAATTGAGAAATAATATATAAAGATAAAAATATATTTTTTACTTTCTCAAATTCTTTGAAAATTAACCATACAGCTTATTCCATTTATGTGTTTAGAGATTGAAGTAGCGCCGAGAAAAAAGGATGGAAGCTGTATTACATCGATATCTCTTTTGTGCTTTTTTTATGAACAACCAGAGGTGGTCGAGTTAGTATTTTTCTCTGTGGAAACCAACACATACCGGAAAATAAATTTAATTTCAAAATATGTTGAAAACACCTTCTTCAATAAAGAAATCACATGAGACTTTATGTTTGACCATCTTTGATTCCAACAAAAACAAACAATTTTGTTGTTGAAATTACAAGACCCTACCATTGACATGCGACATGTTTTATCTTTATGTTTTAATATCTTTGACATTTTCGTCATCTCATTTGCCGTTTATACTTCTTGACTCAAGGTGTTCGTTTATGGAAACATCCTATGCATTCTCATCCACTCACACCTGTTTAAGAACAACCTACTTTTTTTTTAAAATCAGACTGACCATATGAGGAGTAATAAAACATAAAAATGAAGCTTGTGAGGAGAAAATTGCGCAAAGTGTAGTTGGTGGCTTGCGAAATGGTTCACCTTCGTGCCTACTTGCGCAAGAGTATCATGCTCTGCCCCAATTTAATAAAATATTCCTGGGAGGGCAACCACCTGTATCAAGTTCTCTTGTTGACCGTGTTCTGGAACCCCGCCTTAGACTGCTCGTCAGTCTTTGTTGGCCCGGCGGTGGCTGTCATAGCGATTAGGGATCCGAACAGGACCTCGGGGTTGGGACCGAACAGTATCCAAGTGGAGCACTTGGGCAATATCGGTATTAATAAGAAAAAAAATGAACCGAATAACTAGGCCAGATTATTCTTAGAATAGCCCTTATGATGGTATTAAGTTCCAACCTTGCTTTTATTAAAAAAAATAAATAAATAATGAAAAAATGCAAACCGTAAACTGTGTAGTATAAAAAGACAAATGATACGAATATTATCTTTTCTAATCATCATCTGGCCTTATACTTTTTTAAAAGGTTACTAGACTAACAAGGTTATTCATTAATGATTATGATAAATTATTTAATACAAAATATTATATTTAATCAATATATGATTAAATTTGTGCAAAAACCTCTTTTAATTTCACAATATTTTATTTCATAATTAAAACATTTTTTTAAAAATAAACTGGAATTATTATATAAACTTTGGGCTCTATAAAGGAATATTAAAAAAAAATGTTTTCTTTTAAAAACAAAACGTTAGTCATAAAAATGTCTTATGGGAGAGATTTTAAGTTTCTTTTAAAGTTGTAAAACGTGATGGCGAATGGCTTATTAAAAAATAAAAGTATAAAATGATGCAAGTTTTTGACAATTTATTCAGGAACATATACCAGATGAAAATTTTTAGTCATTTTTTTAAAGTGGTATGTACCACAACATAATCAATAGTAATATTTTAAAATAGCTTTTCAGATTTTTTTTTTTTTTTTTTTTTTTTTTTTTTACCTTTCCCTCAAAAACAAGCGTAAACGTTGAGAATCTTCTAATATATGAGGCGATGGGAGAAAGAGTGAGGGGCAGATCTAGTTGGAGTAACAGTGAAAGGATTGCGTTCAACTCTAATTATAATACTTGTGCTTTCTTATCTTCGCCACTCTGCAATCTATAAGATATCTATAATCTTATCAAATCTCAGTTATTCTTTATCATTATCTCTGAACATTAGCCTTTTATGTAATTCTTACAGACGTAGTAAGCAGTGGAGTACAGAGATAGTAATCTATATCCCTATGTGAATATAGATTGAGGTAAGAATAACTAAGCCAGATTATTCTTATAATAGCCCTTATAATGGTATTAAGTTCCAACCTTGCTTTTATTAAAAAAATAAATAAATAATGAAAAAATGCAAACCGTAAACTGTTTCTGCAATTTTCATTAAAAAAATAGGTAACGTCAGTGCAATTTGCTCAATAATTATTTTAATTTAAATGAAGTTCCAGTTTATTCTTCATTCCAAGATTTAATTTTTAATGTCACCTCTTTTTTTTTAAGTTTTAGATTAATCTAATACATTTAATTAATATTTGACTAAGTGATTATACGAATAAAATTTAAAAAATTTCTTATTATTAGTGAATTAAAGATTTAATTTTAGTTTTTACAGATTTCTTCTATATATGTAGTCTTTAATATGAAAAGTTAGTGCGAAAATAAAAAAGTATTAAATCGGCATTTAATCTGATTCGTCCGATTTTCTCGATGATAGATATTTTCGAAAATACGTTTAATATATGTATTTCTGATAAAAATATTTAAATGAAAAAATATGTTATTTCATAATCCTACTTTGTTTCTTTAAGAAATTTCTTCATTGATAACTATGATATTCCTGCTTACGATTCTAAATTAAGAAACAAACTCATATACAAGAAACAAATAATTTCTTCAAATAAAAAAGATTTGTATATATATTTTCTAAATTTACTGAATATAAATACCTTACATTATGTAAAATTGTGTAGTGTAAAAAGAAAAATGATATGAATATTATTTTTTCTAATCACCATCTGGATTTATAATTTTTTAAAAGGTTACTAGACCAACAAGGTTATTCATTAATGATTATGATAAATTATTTAATAAAAAATATTATACTTAATCAATATATGATTAACTTTGTGCAAACACCTCTTTTAATCTCACATTTTTTTATTTCATAATTAAAACATTTTTTTTTTTAAATATGCTAGAATTATTATTTAAACTTTGGGCTCTAAAAAGCAATTTTCAAAAAAATGCTTTCTTTTAAAAACAAAACGTTAGTCATAAAAATGTCTTATTGGAGAGATTTTAAGTTTCTTTTAAAGTTGTAAAACGTGAGGGCGAATGGCTTATTAAAAAAGAAAAGTATAAAATGATGCAAGTTTTTGATAATTTATTCAGAAACATATACCAGATGAAAATTTCCATTTTTTTAAAGTGGTAGTAAAAATAAAAAAATCTTCTCACGTTCATTTATCTACCTTTGTTCAGATTAAATTAATCAAATAAGTATTTGATTATAATTTATTGAACGTTTCAGGGAATCTTCGTTTATTTCTTCAGCAATCTAAAATAATAAATTAATATATTTTTTAGATTCAGTCATTAATTGTATTATTTTAGCTTACTAAACAGGAGGACGAAGATTCCCGAAACTTCCAACAAATTATAATTAAAGACTAATTAGATTAATTCAATCTGACTATAGGGAAAATAAATCATTGTGAAAAGAATAAAGGTCAAAAGAATGAAGTTCTTCATTTTTAATACATTTCATTGTAATTTTTAGTAAATTATTTTATATTTAAGGAATTATACAATGATTCTCAAAAAGTTTTATGATCATAAAAATATGTTTGTAAATATTTTTATCGTTTTTATCGATAGATACATATCTCATACTTGTCAATTTTATGAAAAAATTACAAAAGTATTATATAACAAAGTTTTTATAAACGCGACCAACTGGGTTTAGAAACGAAATTTATGTGATTTATCTCTAACTAATGTACTCGTACTATGTTCCATAATATAATCAATGTAAATATTTTTAAATGGCTTTTCATATATATATATATATATATATATATATTTTTTTTTTTTTTTTTTTTTTTTTTTTGCCTTTTCCTCAGAAACAAGCGTAAACGTGGATCATGTTTAGAATCATATAAGATATGAGGCGATGGGAGAAAGAGTGATGGGCTGGTACAGATCTAGTTGGAGTAACAGTGAAAGGATTGGGTTCAACTCTAATTATGATAATTGTTCCCTCTTATCTTCACCAGACTGCAGTCTAAAGATATCTATAATCTTATCAAATGTCAGTTATTCTTTATCATTATTTCTTAACATTAGTCTTTTATGTAAGTCTTACAGAGGTAGTAAGCAGTGGATTACAGGGATAGTAATCTATATCCCCATGTGAATATAGATTGATGTAAGAAAAGTAAGGAAAAACAAGAAAACTAATATTTAATTATTTCGCTTTATGTTTCAATGTATAAAAATTTTTTATCGACCACGGAACAATGAAGTCAAACAATAATTATTCATACAAATAACTAAATTGCCATTTGGAGACGTTGCTGATTAAGACCTTAAATGATAAAGATATCTAACTTTTTTTTTATTTGGATGTATTTTCATAGTTAATATCCGAAGATGAATTTTAACTTCAACCGTCTAGGCATGAAAATTTTGTTAAAATATAATAAAGTGACATTGGCTATTTTTTTTTCACTTTTCTTCATTGAGGAATTTTACATTTTGTCACAATCAAGGACATAAATAGAGTAGATCATTCCCAATCTATGTAATACATAAATAATAATAAATAAAAATAAATTTAACAGCAAAATAATAATGCTAAAAGTAAATTAAAATAAAAAATAAAAATAAACTAAGCTAATACAAATAACAACTTAAATACAGACATACTCGTATTAGCTATTAATTTCATTTTTAGAAAAAAAGTTTTCTTTTATTTTTTAAATACAATTTTTTTCTGACATTTATCAAATTTTAATTTGCTTTGTGAAAAAATAAATATAATCAAAAGTTAATAAAATATAAAAGTTTTACTTTAGTAAAGAGTACGTTTGGATGATTTTCGGTATCGATTTATTTATTTTACTCAATAAAATATTATTTTGGATGAATTTTTTATTCATTATTATCATTGAACTTATATGTTTTTGTTTCATATGCCATAAACTGTGTTCATTGTTGAAAAAACAAATTTTAAAAATAACGCAGTTCGGGGACTTATTTAGCACCGTTTTAGAGGTTTGAAAATGTTCACTATTAAGATTAATACAATTAAAGAATTATGCATTGATGCATTTTTGATACAACTTAACTTTTTATTATTATGTTTTTTTTTTATCTATATTTTGAATCATTATCATTAAATGATCTGTATCCGTACTTGCCCAAAATCGATAATATAGTAAATGATCAGAGGCAATGTCTCCAGCTACTGTCAAATATTTGTTTGCTATATAAATTATAGATTTGTTTTTTAAATCTAATGTTAATTAAAAAAAGAGGTTGTGTTAGCCGAGTGTATTTAAGCGTAAACTTTAAGATTCTCGAGTTTAGCAGCGACGCTATGGAATAAATATCGATCTTTCCTTTCTAGTTGGAATAGATTTGGTTGTAGAACTTGAACAATTCCACGTTTCGTATGCCAGAAATGGCCAGGCTGGAGATAATTGAAATAAAAAAAAGTATTAAAATAAAATAAACTAGTATATTTGCATGAAACAAAAATAAGGCCATGCTTAGGCTTGTCAAGAAACTCTCCACTCCTTTTTTTTCACTTTTTTTTCAATCCGCACCTGTTAATTACATTTTATTAACAATCAGCGGATGTATACCATACAATGATATGCGGTGTGCACATCACACAACTTTCACTTACCACTCTCTTCTTAACGTAAAAAGATGTTTTCAGACAAAGGGGAAGTGAAAGTAAAAATTATAGACACTATATTTATTTGTAATTCATTGTGGATATTTGTATTTGTATAAGTACCCTTATATACCAATTTTAATATATATATATATATATATATATATATATATATATATATATATATATATATATATATATATATATATATATATATATATTTTTAAAACTTTTATTATGATATTTACAACTGTATTAGTATGAATACATCTAGTAAATTTGTACAGAGAAATATTATTACATGAAACACGCTTGTTGAGAAACTACCCACTGGTAGCACTATATATATATCGATGTAGTCTATACAATTAAATATTAAATAATACCAACAATAGCATTTATGAAAAACACGTATGTATATTTATACAATATTGTCGGAGTCCGTATTATATTAAGCTCATGTTACGTATAGAAGCGTGTCCTAATCTTTGGGGCGAGCTCGGGTGCGCTCATATTCCTTTAGTTCCTCATTTACAACTATTTTGCGTTACGATCTCTTATTTCTCTTCTAGTTAATTATCAAATTCTTTCACATTTTATATTTATCTATCTTTTTTATTAGAGTTTATGTGAAATGTTCAATTTTTTCAAACAAAAAAAATAAAATTCTTTCCAACGTCTAGGAGGATTATCTGGAATCGATGAAGAACCAAGACTAGAAACAATTAGGTTCGGATGGGTCTAGAGTTTACTTACTTTTTTGACTATAAGTTTGGAAATTATTGTTAATGGCTTCCCTTTCATTATTCCCCATTTCTCATTAATTTGAATCCTTATAGTCTAATTACATCTGATTAACGATAGTGCTATGTAGTAATGTATTGGTCTAGAAGCTGATCCTTGACTGACAACTGGGCAATGGCTGGAGAATACAGAAGGCAGTGTATTAGACAATCGATCTATTGACTGCCCGTGCCACAGCCTTCATTATCCACACCAGTCCTTGATCCAGTTCCTTCAATACTTCAACACACCATGAGCTACCTTACTTCTTTTTATTGCCATACTTCCTTCCTCGATGTATTCTTCAAGACGATTTCACAGTTGGGTTGGACATTGTGATAATTGCCTTCATCCTTGGAGTTCCGTTGAACACCTTCCGCACTATTCCTTTACGGATTTTTTTTCTATTTTAATGGTTCATTTATTTATTTATTTCAATAAATTTATTGATTTTATTGATATTTTTTTAGTTTACTTATTTATCTTTTCTTTCTTATTATCTATTAGAATCTTTATCTCTTATTTTATTCTATTAATTTTTTGTTTAAATTTTTCATTTTTATTTTT